AATAATGATAGAAGCAAAGTTTTTCACAGTGGGGATATATCTTTATAAGTACAATTTGACTATTATTTGTGTCCCCTTGCTCATGAGAAATTTTATATTTATTGTCCCCCCCTACTGTTAAATGAAATTTACGCCCATGCAGGTGAGATGACTTCTTGGTACTTGAGGGTAACTTCCTGATGTTTCCTTGGCTGGATTTCTCGGCATGAGAATGAGGAGGAGAGTTTCTGTAACAGACTGATAATAATGTAGGTGTTTCCTGGTGGAGAGTACAGGCAGCAAATAAAGACTTCCTGAACAGGCTGCGCTTGATCAGTAGGCATTTCAGGTCTGTGAATCAGCATTGTGCAACCTTTTTTACATGTATGCCTCGTGTATATATACAATAAATACATCTTGTAATATATATATCTTTTTTAATTAATATATTAACAATCACAAATCAAGATATAAGTTGGATAATCTACATGTATAAATATAGTCCAGTCAATGTGTATCTGTGTTTTTTATGAAAGATTGGGGGGGGTTTGGCGGCGGCGCAAGAACTTGTTATGCTTCTCTTACTACGTTTCATGTTACATAAACCACATGTCATGCCTTCGAGTTTGTCCACATTCCTATACCTGTGAATAAAAGTGAAAATATTTCCACCCAGGAGCGCAGTTCTGTTAAGGACGTACACACAGCTTGGGAATCAAATAAAGATATTTCATATTAAAAGGTAAGAAAATAGTCAAAAATAAAATGAATACTTACGGGAGTCGAAAACTGTAGTGCTTGCAATTACTTTTAAATACTTTTATTGGATTTAACAAATCTCGTGATAACCAGTTAATTATTTTGTTTCCTACTCTCTTTTGACTTTGCTAGCGGGGAGATGAAAGATAATGAAATTATTAGTTTAAACAAGGTCTTTAAAATTTTAAATGTCATTTAAAAGCCTAAAGCTTTGGAAACCATGTCAAATAATTTCATTGCAATATTTTGAGAACATAACACATTTCATTGTTTTAATTTTATGTGTATCAAGCAAGCTTAATTTCCTGAGTTTGGTAAGATGTGTTGTTGGTTGCATAAATTACCATTTACAATGAAATGTGAGGATTATATACTATTGTAACTTGTTACAAATTATCTGTGCGTGATCATATTGACTTTCAGCGCAGGATTATCAGACAGAAAACAACACCTGAAACATTTCAGAGAGACAGACCACTCTTTCTTCATTTCATGTATACATGTTTTGAGGGCTAGATCTTGTAGCTTGCACCTCACTGCAAGCATATATTTTATATTTACCTTCCTGTTCATATAGGGTCCACCTGTACATCAGTAATGGACGATGCTGAATCAGAAACAAGTTCCTTTACAGAGCTTACAAAGAGTGAGGCTGTTTCTGAAATTATTTGCTCTTTGGGACAAAAGCCAGAGACTACTGAAAGGTAAGCTGTTAATATTTTCACAAGGCAGCTGTTGGAAAAAGCCCTCGTTAAAATTTTCACAGTGCAGAGAGGTAGTGTTTACAGAGTTGATTTCTGGTGATTTTAGCACCGATCTGTCGCAACAGATGCATTGCTTGTTAAGACTATAAATTAAAATAATAATAATAATAATAATAAAATAACTGTTTTATCTTTTTTACTTTGCACAGTCGTTGTATGGGTGAGAGACTGGAACTGGGCAGTTTTTGACACTTTAACCTGCAAAGACCAAAGGGAAGGGATTTTGAAAGCAAGCGACATTTGACATTGTGAAAACTGTGATGGATCCTAATACTGCTTCACAGTCCAAAAACATGCTGAGGTTAATTGGAGTTACCAAACTGCCCATAGGTGTGCATTAGGGTGGGATGAAAAAAATAGCAATAGCAATTTCCAGTAGTGTGGAAAAGTTGTCACTGGGCCTTGTTATTAAACGTGAAAAATATCTTTGAAATAGGTGAATATTTTCAGGTTCCGCAACGCGATCAAAGTTTTCACCTGTCACATCAATGGGCAATATACACTATCCATTATCTATACTCATCGGTGTTGTGTTTGTGCACTTTCACAACATGATAATCATTACAAAATACCAACGTTCAGGTAACGCAGATTTTTTACTGGGTATCAGCCATACACATACATTACATCGCTCTGTGGCTCTACTTGCATTATACGATTAATCACCTTACATACTGTATCACCTTAGATTATCATGTTGTGAAAGTGCACAAACACAACAACGATGAATGCCAAAACATTCATGTCAAACACACCAGTTTCAACCCTTCAAGGTGCATTCCAGTATGTAAAGTTCACTGGCAAGAGAAAGCACTCACATGCACAAGCAACTTCTGTAGATCTCAAAACATAGTACAATAGTAAACTAAAACGTCACATAGTTAAAAACAATAAAATGGCAATACAGGAACAACATTACAAAAAAATATGTAAGGTGATTAATCGTACTGCAGGTAGAGCCCTCCAGCGTGTCCTGGTAGAGCCCTCCAGCATGTCCTGGGTCTGCCCCGGGGCCTCCTCCCAGTAGGACATGCACGGAAAACCTCAACTGGATCCTTTCGACATGGAGAAGCAGCGGTTCTACTCTAAGACTCTCCCGGATATCCAAACTTCTCACCCTATCCCTAAGGGAGAACCCAGACACCCTGCGGAGAAACCTCATTTCGGCCGCCTGTATTCACGATCTCATTCTTTCGGTCATTACCCATAGCTCATGACCATAGGTGAGGGTAGGGAGGAAGATGGACCAATAGATCGAGATCATTGCTTTCCAGCTCAGTTCTTTCTTAGCCACAATGAACCTGCAAAGCACCTGCAAAACTGTAGACGACACTCTGATTTGTCTGTCCAGCTCCTGATCTTGCCTACCCTCACTCGTGAACAAGACCCCGAGATACTTGAACTCCTCCACTTGAGGCAGTACCTCTTCCCTGACCTGAAGAGGGCAATCGACCCGTTTCCAGCTGAGAACCATAGTCTCGGACTTGGAGGTGCTAACCTTCATCCCCGCCGCTTCGCACTCGGCTGCGAACTGCCCCAGAGCACACTGGAGATCCCCAGCAGATGAAGCCAACAGGACGACATCGTCCACAAAAAGCAGCGAGGCAATCCTGAGGCCACCAAACTGGACACCCTCAACACCCTGGCTACGCCTAGAAATCCTGTCCATAAATATTATAAATAGGACCGATGACAAAGGGCAGCCCTGGCGGAGCCCAACCCGCACTGGGAACACGTCCGACTTATTACCGGCAATGCGGACCAAGCTTCTGCTCCATTCATACAGGGACCGAATCGCTCACAACAGTGGACCCCGGACCCCATACTCCCGAAGCATCCCCCACAGAGCACCTCGGGGAACCTGGTCGTAAGCCTTTTCCAAATCCACAAAACACATGTAGACTGGATAGGCAAACTCCCAGGCCCCCTCCAGTACCCTTGCAAGGGTATAAGGCTGGTCCAGTGTTCCATGGGCAGGACAAAAACTGCATTATTCCTCCTGAATCCGAGATTCGACTATCGATCTCGCCTTCCTCTCCCGTACCCCAGAATAGACTTTCCCAGGAAGGCTGAGAAGTGTGATCCCCCTGTAGTTGGAACACACCCTCCGGTCCCCTTTCTTAAATAAGGGGACCACCACCCCGGTCTGCCAATCCAGCGGCACTGTCCCTGACCTCCATGCACTGTTGAGAAAGCGTGTCAGCCACGACAGCCCCACAGCATCCAGAGCCTTTAGGTACTCCGGATGGATCTCGTCCACCCCCGGGGCCCGGCCACCATGTAGCACTTTAACTACCCTGACCACCTCAGCCCCAGTGATGGGCAAGCCCCCCCTCCAGCACCCTCAGGCTCTGTGCCCTCAGATGTCTCAAAGGCAGTGTGCATAGAAGTATCTGAGACAGGGTTGAGGAGGTCCTCAAAGTATTCCTTCCACCTCCGGGTGATGTCCCCACTATAAATAGTAGGAACCAGGAGCTGTTTCCCCCTCCTGATATTCCGGATGGTTTGCCAGAACCTTTTTGAGGCCGACCAAAAGTTACTTTCCATGGCCTCACCGAACTCCTCCCATGCCCGAGTTTTTGCTTCTGCGACTGCCTGAGCCACATTCCGCCTGGCCTGCCGGTACCCGTCAGTTGCCTCCGGAGACCCCCGGGCTAATAATTTCCAGTAAGCCTCCTTCTTCAGCTTGAAAGCCCCCCTCACCTCTGGTGTCCACCATCGGGTACAGGGGTTACCGCCACGACTGGCATCACCCTGCAGCCACAGCTCCGTACGGCCGCTTCCACAATGGAGGTCCGGAACAGTGTCCATTCAGACTCAATGTCCCCAACTTCCCCCGGTATGCAGTTGGAATTCTTCCGGAGGTGCGAGTTAAAGCTCCGGTAAACAGGAGCCTCTGCCAGACGTTCCCAGCAGACCCTCACTATGCGCTTGGGCCTACCAGGTCTGACTGGCTTCCTCCTCCGCCACCTGAGCCAACTCACCACCAGGTGGTGATCAGTTGACAGCTCTGCCCCTCTCTTTACCCGAGTGTCCAAGACAGAAAGCCGCAGATCAGATGATATGATTATGAAATTGATCATCGACCTATAGCCCCGGGCATGTTCGTACCATGTCCACTTAAGGACACCCTTATGCTCGAACATGGTGTTCGTTATGGACAAACCATGCATTGCACTGGGGCTGCACGGTTTGGGGAAAATATTGAATCGTGATTTTTCTGACAGAAATTGCGATTACGATTTGATTTGCGATTAAATTTTTTTAATGTCAAGCTTCAGTTCAGTATTCAGTGTGTAGTAATTTTAAAACATATGACGCAGCATGAGATACCATCAGTATTAACTGGTCTATATTCTAATGCAAGGATGAGAATTTAAAGATGTGATGTGTCAAGTTAAATAAAGTAATAATGAAAACAATTGCAGCAAAAAGAAAAATACCGATCTTGCAGGTAACGCTTATTACCCTCCTAATAACACTAGAACCGCCTTTTCCCACGCCAGTGAACAAGCAAGAACTACTTCAGTGTATGCAGCCCTTTTGTTTGCATTATTGTGTTGTTAGCTGCTGTTATTAACACTAATAACACTCAAAAAAACGTAATTTTCATAACAGAGTGGCTGTTCTGTCCTGAAACCGTAAAGCTAGAAATTTTTAATCGTAGTATGCATTTTATAAAATGTTGAATAAATAGAAGTTGTTTATTGGTGATTTCATGTTGGTCGAAGTTTCCACTTTTTAAGAACTGTATACGATTTCTATACAAATCAATTCAGGTGAAACAAACAATTCGTGTTCATGGTTGCAAACTCTTTCAGACGGCAAATCTATATTCCATTCTGAACTTAAAACTAGCTGCATCAAAAACATTACGGCAGTTTGCAAACCCTACAGACTATTTACAAGGTACAGTAATAAAACTTACATACATGTAAATGTGTGTGCAGAACAGAGAACATAAAATGTAACTCCATGCAGCTGACCGAAGTTGCCAACCCTGCATTTTATTTTAAATGAGAAGTAAAATGCAGTTTTCGACTGAAGCAGCTTATCATTCCTTTGCATTGTTACTCGGACAAATACAAAACAAATGATTAAACATTATATGCGTCGCTTTTTGTATGTTTACTAAAACCCTCTCGTTCACCGGGGTAAACCGTTGTTAATGCACCGAGCTGTGAGGCCACCAGTAGCCCCACCCCAGCCCGGCGTCGCTCATCCGCCGCAACTCCAGAGTAAAAGAGCGTCCAGCCCCTCTCCAGGAGATTGGTTCCAGAACCCATGCTATGCGTTGAGGTGAGCCCGACTATATCTAGTCAATATCTCTCAACCTCATGCACAAGCTCAGGCTCCTTCCCCACCAGAGAGGTGACATTCCATGTCCCGAAAGCCAGTTTTGTCAGCCGGGGATTGACCGCCAGGGCCTCCCTTGGCTGCCACCCGATCCAAAATGCACCGAACCCCTGACATTCCCCTTGCGGGTGGTGGGCCCACCTGGGGACAGTCCTGTGTACTGTACCTCTTTCGGGCTATGCCCGGCCGGGCCCCACCCGCTAAGGCCCGGCCACCAGGCGCTCCCCAACTGGCCCCTCCCCCAGGCCTGGCTCCAGGGTGGGGCCCCGGTGACTCTAGACCGGGCGAGGGAAACAATACTTTGCTAGAATACTTTATCATAGGGTTCTTTTGGATTGCTCTTTGTCTGGCCCCTCCCCTGGGACCTTTTGCCTTGGGAGACCCTACCAGGTGCTATTGCCCCCAACAACATAGCCCCCAGGGTCACTGAGGCACTCAAACCCCTCCACCACAATAAGGTGGCAATCCAAGGAGAGGACAATATAAAGTGCCCATCAATAAAATTAGTGTGTGAATCAATGTATTAGTCCTAATGTACTTGGGGTTGATGGCAGCACAGTTGGCAATCAGGCAGATTATGGGGG